TTTTTTTTTTTTTTTTTTGACCTCCACCTCTGTCATGGGAAGGAGCCTAGGCTAGAATGCTGGAAGCTGAGAGACCGCACGGAATGGAGAGCTGGGTCATCTTGGCTGAGGCCGTCCTAGGTCACCGAGGCCCAGCCAGGCACAGATCGATGAGCGAGCCCAGCCAAGATCAGCTGAGTTTAGCCCAATCAAATCACCCAGCCCACCCACAGACTGTGAGAAGCATAAACGGTTATTGTTCCAAGCCACCGGGTTTTTTGAAGAGCCTGTCACATGGCGGCGTCCTAACAGTGTTTAACATTGTTACTTGGGCTCGAGGGAGAGGAGGAATGAGGCAGATAAGCGAGCTGTGGCATCGCAGACCAGCCCCGGGGACGGGACGGGATGAGGACCGGCTGATAAAACGCCTCCAGCTGGAGGCATCCGCGGCCTGACAAAGTAACATCTCTCCCACGCGACCCTGTTTACCTACAAAGGGGCTCTGGAAGACACATGGGGCACCTAGATCTTTTATGCAGTCCTTTAAGGCAAGAAGGTATCTAGGTTTGGTCTTCCGGTAGGACGACTCCAAGGGGCTAGGGTCAAAGTGTTCGACAGCAGATGACAACAACGGACCGTGTCCAGTAAAACTCACTTCACCCAGGGCCCAACGAACACAAGCATGTGTTAACTGTGACACTCTCGGTGACATAACTTAGGACGTCGATGTCGAACACAGCTCTGGATGGGTCGGCTCACCCTCAAAACAGGGATCTGTAAAATGTTAAGGAAACCCGCACTTTGCATAGTTGGGTGTCGGCAATAACAAAACGGTTTCTCCAAGGTGAATGAAGGCAGGAAATCACCCAGATCAAGATAAAGAATGACGGGTTCTGACCCAGTTATAACCAAGGCCTGACTGAACATAAAACACCCCATCCGGGGCGCCTGGGTGGCGCAGTCGGTTAAGCGTCCGACTTCAGCCAGGTCACGATCTCGCGGTCCATGAGTTCGAGCCCCGCGTCAGGCTCTGGGCTGATGGCTCGGAGCCTGGAGCCTGTTTCCGATTCTGTGTCTCCCTCTCTCTCTGCCCCTCCCCCATTCATGCTCTGTCTCTCTCTGTCCCAAAAATAGATAAAAACGTTGAAAAAAAATTTAAAAAAAAAAAAACACCCCATCCTAGGCTAATAAGGATTATCAGCATGTCTGACCAAAAACGTCACGCAGAAACCCATACATTTGAACGATCGTTTCCTCTACCTTGAACGGCTTTCCTGCCCTCTGACTGGAAAGCTTCTATTCACCCTCCAGAATCCTGTTCTGTTTCACTGTCTCTGGGCAACGTGCACTAATGTCCCCAGAGGGATTTGAGGGCTTCCTCCTTGGCAACCCCAAAG